CCGTCGTCAGGCTAAATGAAAAATGACAGCTGGAATTGTCGTACCAGAGGATTTGGGGCAGAGGTTAAATCAAACAAGAGTGGGAGTGCGGGTGCGGGGGGAGGGTTAGGATGACGCGAATCCTGCTGCGATTGGTACTGAAAGTACAAGGGGGCGTGAACGTCTTGGTTGCGCGGCACGTGTCGGGGCGGGGGGTATCCAGAATCCGTCAAGTCCTACTTGGCCGAGCACGGGCTAGAGTGTTGTTGTTTCACGCTGGGAGCAAGTAAGTGGACAATGCACGCAAACCGACGTAATGTGAATCGATATCCACGTGCCTGCTGATGCTGTTTATGCTGGAGTGCCAAACTTCGAGAAATTCTCGTGCCTGCTTTTTGTTAGCCGTGGCGACCACTTCAGTTCCATCCTGATTGAACTGGTGGTCATAATCGATAGCGTGCCCAAACACGATAGACAATGGATCACGTCTTTGGATGGCCAGCTTATGTTCATTTATGCGGGTCCTGAGTTTCCGACCTGTATGACCTATGTGTCACTAGGGTACTTAGCACACGGAATGCTGCAAATTACTTTGGTTTGGTGCTCTGTGGTCTTTAACGCGAGATGGAGCTGCCCTCAGAGAAGACACTGGTTTGTGAGCAATGTTGATACCGAGACGATTTAATTGTCGGGCGATCATTTCCGAAAGTACTTGCATGTAGGTTAAAGAGTACAATGCCCTCTGTACCACTTCCTCGTTATAGCTCCGATCTTCTGATTTTCTCTGACGCCGGAGACAGTTTTTCATGAAACTCCTCGGATACCCGTTCGATCGGAATAATTGGTATAAGTGGAAAAGTTCTCTTTTGGGTAGACGCTCGCTGCTACATTACCGAAGGGCGCTGTGAAAATGTGTTCGAACACAGCTTCTATTGTGGGCCACAGGATGTTTGCTCCTATAATTGAGGATTATTAAGGCACTATAGGACTCTAATAGACTTGTGCCTATTGCTTTTCGTGGTACCTTTACAACACAGATGGTCTAAGAACAAGCAGTTAGTTTATGTAGACTTTACCTAGCGGTAATGACGCCAACATAAAAATGCTCGATGACAATAGCTTTATTGAAGTGTTACTTTGATCGATAACCCCGGCAAAACCATAGCCAAAGACGAGATTTTTTCACCTATTGCCCATACCACTTTCTTACTCCTTGCAATTTTTCCACTGATCTACCTCGACACTTTTTATGTTTACAGAGGACTTTGGTTTGACACACTGTACGGAACTATGCTGAAAATTGATCATTTTGGATCTATCCTTATGTGTCTCAGAGGATTCAACACAATTTCTCAGTAGGTCCCGTCCCATGCCAAATAGTCGCTTTTTAATTAGTGCCGAAATATGTGAATTGTATCCCAACAAGTTTCTAAAGTATGACGAATCCAGAATAAAGATAATGAGCACTCTTTTTGATCTACCAAGTAAGTTCTTACTACGCGTTTTCGTTATCTCCTTAACCGATGTCTTCTAGAACTTCATTTATTGGCATGTATTGTCCACATGTTCCAAAACAACTCTGAATTTAAAAAAGAGAACAACGGAGTAAGACTGGGATCCTTGTACATGTCCTATAAATCTGTCTACGAGGATGTGGACGAAGTGACTGATTGGATGCACCGAGTAAGTGAAACATTGATTTTCTTCGACGACCTTTAACGATTAAGTAGCTGACTTTCTGAAACTGTCTTCTCCTTTACGATAGGCATATTTCTTCATCATAAAATAAACTCTTCAGTTCGACCGTGGTTCGCGACGAGATCCACTGCATGCTTCAGCAAACTGAAGGCGAACGCGGTGACTTACGCGCGAATTAGTTTTAAGTGGTAGTGGACTTGCGTTGGATCTACCGCACTCTCTCTCTCTCCTCCCTCATCCGTCCGAGTTTGGTGTCAAGACAAGGTCAAGAAGACCGCAGGCGGGAGCGGGCTCGGTGGCTGGGTCGGCGTGTTCCTGCACTTGTGCGGGCCACCACGCTCCCTCGTGTTCGATACCTGCTATGGAAGCGCAACTCAAACAACGCCTTTCCTGCGTCTCGTGTTGGTCGAGTGCATTCACCACGCGGCTGATAAAGAACAACTTAAACAGTCTAAGGATAATTGAGTCAGCTCTATGTTTAACACAGGCCTTGCCTTCACACACAAGCCTACTGGCTTCGTAAATCAAGGCCGAAATAAACTCAGACTAACATTTGGCGCACCATTATTCTAAAAACATAGTAGTTTAAAAGGGTAGCTAGTAGCCATCACATGAGTTGCTCAAGTAAATATTGACTGTCACTTAAAATTGGCATATAAAGCGGGCCTCCACCGATCCGTTTGAAGTACGAACCATATATAGCCTGTCCTCCTTACAGGTAGTTGCATAGGCACATTTAATAATGTCAACGCAGTACTGATAAGGACAGAAGTAACTGGGGTTTCCATCCCTGGACATTTAGCTCTCGTCAGCCAACCAATCTGCCTCAAGATTTGGACAAGCCGGGGTTGCCTGATTACGGTTAATAAGCCAGAGCTTGCCATTTCAGATTCCTTTTGTATTTTTTTGTCAATATACAAAATATTCCGTCTGTCCTAGGCGTCGAGGACCACTACTACTAGGACTTCCGAGTGAATTTTCTTGCGGGTCAGGCTTGCGTTGCATCCACCTCACACTTTCCCATACCCGCTATGTTCTAAAGACAAAATAATCGGAATGTGACCGTGCGTACTGACTGGCTTGGCGCGAAACCTATATGGAAAACAGGCGCATACAAAATACCAATGCATGTGAACGCCGCGGTCGGATAAGGCAGATCTAGCGAAATTTGTCCGAGGTTCCTGTACTGATTTGTAAATCAAAATAGATGCGTTTTCAGGCATCTGAACAAGCCGGAGGAAAGGATTTTCTTTGATAACAGCCACCTTTGCGCATGTCTGGTCTCTAAGCGGACGTCGAGCGGGTAGGATAGATCCCTCATTGAGTTTGCTGAAGATGGTGGAGAGATGCCAGAGTAGGGTAGTATGTGTGGACTCCGGTTTCGCAGAGGTTACAGTAGATACTCCATTTCTTATGCGTCACTTCGCAACCAATCAGGATAATCGACTAGAGTAACTTCAGTGATTCAGGGTGTGATAATCATTTTGACATTGTGGTAGATACAAACGAGTCCGTCAAGATCAACCCAGGCCCTTAAATGAATAAACGGACACGTTGAGAGAGGGTGAGCGTTGTTGCCGTTGTTGAGCGTTGTGATCTGCCGTACTTAAAACTTGACTGTTTAGTCTTTTGCTTTGGTGTGCTTTATTCACTTGGCTTCGCAAATGGATTCTCTCGTTTTCTCAGCGGCTCTCATTACTACTTGCATGCCCTAAGGGAGGAGAGGGTTTCTCGATATTTGAATTAGTCTTAAACATGCCTCTTTATTGTTGTTTTGATTCACCTTGCCATGAAAGAGTTAGTTCGACAACCGTCTAAGTTCCATCATCATTGCATAGCCACTCCATCGAAGTTGAGTCTATTTCAGCATGATATAAATACTAAGCACGCCATTTGTTGTCAGGGCCTTAGTGCCTGGCATTTTTTCTGCTACTTCATTTCTCCTATTCTTCAAGGACGGCCAGGGTGAAGATAATTCAGCTTTGTTTTGGTAAGTCGTCCACGTTTCTGCCTCCTAAAAAAGCGCTGTCAGGACCGCGGGCCGGCATATGGTCGCTTTCGTTTCTGCTAATGCCTCTGATAAACATCCTTGACGGATTTCGAAACATCAGGCGAATAAAATCTTCTCATAGCGATCACATCTGCTTCTTCTCAGTTGCCATGAAAATGCAAGACTGAATATTGCAACCCACCGAAGTCATGGGGGTCATACCTCTAACATTATTTGGACTACCATGGACTATTCGGGAGGTTTTCTTTGCCGGCCAGTGTTGGCACGTGTCTGAGCCTATTTTCACTTCTAACTTTTCAGGGCGAATTAAAAAGGCAGACAGTTGCCAATCTGGATTACTATGTCGAACAAAACCCTGAGACCCTTCTCCTGTTGGACAAGTAAGTATTCCAGTCTGTTTCGTCCTTTTAATTTCTAATATAAACGGTATTTCGACACAGATGTAAAATGCGACTCCATTCACAACACAGGTGTTAGTTCAGCGTCTTTTCTATATTCCTTCGTTCTAGCAACCGCAGTGCTGAGATGCTCACTAAACTATTGTTTACCATGTCCTTCTTGATTGTCCCTAGTTGAGAAATAACCTTGACTTTTTTGGAGCATTCTATAATTGTTCCAAAGTAAGTATCCAGATCAAAAAAAAATAACTTGAACTTTCTGTTACTGTCTGCGAGTAAGGGCGGGAAGTGTGAAGACCTATCACAATTATTCCGCAGTTCAGAAGAAAGAGGAGCGTTCACCGCGAGAGGTTTATTACAAGCCTGACGTTTCGGGTAGTTGTCTCGTCTACCCATC